TTCCAAATAAAAAATTCCAAATAAATAAAAAAATTCTGAATAAATTTTAAATAAAAAATTCCGAATAAAAAGTTCCTAATAAATCAAAAAATTCTGAATATTTTAAAAATTTCGAATTAATAAAAAATTCCAAATAAAAAATTCTGAATTAATAAAAAATTCCGAATAAAAAATTGCAAATAAATAAAAAAATTCTGAATAAATTTTTAAAAAATTCCAAATAAATAAAAAATTCCGAATAAAAAATTGCAATAAATAAAAAAATTAGGAATAAAATTTTAAAAAAATCAGAATAAATAAAAAATTCTGATTAAAAAATTGCAAATAAATAAAAAAAATTGGAATAAATTAAAAAAAATCCCAAATTTATAAAGAATTCCAAATAAAAAATTCCAAAGAAATAAAAAAAAATTCTGAATAAATTTTTGAAAAATTCCAAATTAATAAAAACTTCCAAATAAATAAAAAATTCTGAATAAATAAAAAATTCCATATAAATAAAAAAATTCGGAATAATTTTTTAAAAAAATCTGAATAAACAAAAAATTCCAAATAAAAAATTCTGAATTAATAAAAATTTCCAAATAAATAAAAAAATTATGAAAAAATTTTTAAATAAAAAATTCCAAAAAAAATTGCAAATAAATAAAATATTCGGAATAAAATTAAAAAAAATTCAGAACAAATAAAAAATTCAAATTAAAAAATTCCGAATAAAAAAAATCTGAATAATTTTTTAAAAAATTCGGAATAAATTAAAAATTCTGAATAAATAAAAATTTCCAAATAAATAAAAAAATTCTAAATAAATTTTTTAAAAAAATTCCGAATAAATGAAAAATTCTGAATAAATTTAAAAACCCCAAAAATGGAAAATCCGGGTGGATCCGGGGTGGGCGCGGCTGCACGGGAGGAAACGGATTTGGGGTCGAAAAAGGAAATTTTGGGTCAAAAAAAGGAAATTTGGGGTCACAAAAAGGAAATTTTGGGGTTAAAAAATGGAAATTTGGGGTAAAAAAAGGAAATTTGGGGTCAAAGGGGGAAGGAGAAATCCAAGAAATGCGAGAAGACCTGAAAAGATCAGGAGAAAAACCCCAAAATGCCAAAGGAACCCCAAAAACCCCAAAAAACCCCAAAATCCGTGAGGAGAACCCAAAAAACCTTGAGAAGACCCCAAAAATCCTTGAGGAGACCCCAAAATTCCACCAGGAGACCCCAAAAATCCCAAAAAACCCCCAAAATCCCGAGGAGACCCCAAAAATCCCCAGGAGAACCCAAAAACCCCGAGGAGACCCCAAAAAACCCAAAAATCCGTGAGGAGACCCCAAAAATCCCAAGAGATCCCAAAAATCCTGAGGAGACCCCAAAAATGCCAAAAAAACCCCAAAATCTGTGAGGAGACCCCAAAAATCCCATGGGAACCCCAAAAACCCCAAAATCCGTGAGGAGACCCCAAAAAACCTTGAGGAGACCCCAAAAATCCCAGAAAACCCCAAAAATATCGAGGAGACCCCAAAAATCCTGAGGAGACCCCAAAATTCCACGAGGAGACCCCAAAAATCCAAAAAAAAACCCCAAAAATCCTGAGGAGACCCCAAAAATCCCAAAAAACCCCAAAAATCCCGAGGAGACCCCAAAAATCCCACGGGAACCCCCAAAAAAACCCCAAAAATCTGTGAGGAGACCCCAAAAATCCTGAGGAGACCCCAAAAATCCCGAAAAACCCCAAAAATCCCAAAAAAACCCAAAAATCCCCAGGAGACCCCAAAAATCCCCAGGAGACCCCAAAAATCCCAAAAAACCCCAAAATCCCCAGGAGAACCCAAAAATCCCACGGGAACCCCAAAAAAAACCCAAAATCCGTGAGGAGACCCCAAAAATCCTTGAGGAGACCCCAAAAAATCCCAAAAAAACCCAAAAATATCGAGGAGACCCCAAAAACCCCAGGAGAACCCAAAAATCCCATGGGAACCCCAAAAAAACCCCAAAATCCGTGAGGAGACCCCAAAAATCAGGAGAGGAACCCAAAAACCTCCAGGAGACCCCAAAAAAACCCCAAATCTGTGAGGAGACCCCAAAAATCCCAAAAAACCCCAAAAATCCTGAGGAGACCCCAAAAATCCCACGGGAACCCCAAAAAAACCCCCAAAAATCTGTGAGGAGACCCCAAAATTCCACAAGGAGAACCCAAAAATCCCCAAAAACCCCAAAAAACCCCAAAAATCCCCAAAAATCCTGAGAAAAACCCAAAAATCCCACGAGAACCCCAAAAAACCCCAAAAATCCCAAAACCCCCCAAAACTCCTTAGGAGAACCCAAAAATCCCACGGGAACCCCAAAAAAAATCCAAAACCTTGAGGAGACCCCAAAAATCCCAAAAAACCCCCAAAAATGCTGAGGAGAACCTAAAAATCCCACGGGAACCCCAAAAAAGCCCAAAATCCATGAGGAGACACCAAAAAACCTTGAGGAGACCCCAAAACCTCCTGGAGAGACCCCAAAATGGGGGGAGAAAAGGGAAACCACGAAAAAATCCCAAAACCCCACGAGAAGAACCCAAAAATCCCCAGGAGACCCCAAAAATCCCAAAAAAAACCCCAAAATTCCTGAGGAGACCCCAAAAATTCCACGGAAACCCCAAAAAACCCCAAAATCCGAGAGGAGACCCCAAAAATCGCCAGGAGAACCCAAAAATCCCACGGGAACCCCAAAAATCCCAAAAATCCGTGAGGAGATCCCAAAAAACCTTGAAGAGACCCCAAAAATCCCACGGGAACCCCAAAAAACCCCAAAATCCGTGAGGAGACCCCAAAAAACCTTGAGGAGACCCCAAAAATCCCAAAAAACCCCAAAATATCGAGGAGACCCCAAAATTCCACGAGGAGACCCCAAAAATCCCACGGGAACCCCAAAAAACCCCAAAATCCTGGAGGAGACCCCAAAAATCCCAAAAAAACCCCAAAAATCCCACGGGAACCCCAAAAAACCCCAAAAGTCGCCAGGAGACCCCAAAAAACCTTGAGGAGACCCCAGAGGAACAGGAGAAGAACCCAAAACCTTGAGGAGACCCCAAAAATGCCAAAAAAACCCAAAAATCCCCAGGAGACCCCAAAACTCCTGAGAAGACCCCAAAAATCCCATGGGAACCCCAAAAACCCCCAAATCCCTGAGGAGACCCCAAAAGAGCCCAAGGAGACCCCAAAAAACCTTGAGGAGACCCCAAAAATGCCAAAAAACCCCAAAAATCCCCAGGAGACCCCAAAACTCCTGAGAAGACCCCAAAAATCCCATGGGAACCCCAAAAACCCCAGAATCCGTGAGGAGACCCCAAAAGAGCCCAAGGAGACCCCAAAAATCCTGAGGAGACCCCAAAAATCCCCCAAAAAACCCCAAAAATCTCCAGGAGACCCCAAAAATCCCACGGGAACCCCAAAAAAGCCCAAAATCCAGGAGGAGACCCCAAAAAACCTTGAGAAGACCCCAAAAATCCCCAAAAACCCCAAAAATCCCAAAAAACCCCAAAAATCCCCAGGAGACGCCAAAAATCCCACGGGAACCCCAAAAAACCCAAAATCAGTCAGGAGACCCCAAACATCCACCAGGAGACCCCAAAAATCAAAAAAAACCCCAAAAATCCCGAGGAGACCCCAAAAACCCCAAAATCCGTGAGGAGACCCCAAAATTCCTCAAGGAGACCCCAAAAATCGGGAGAGGAACCCAAAAACCCCAAGGAGACCCCAAAAGTCGCCAGGAGAACCCAAAAAACGTTGAGGGAACCCCAAAAAAAACCTGGAGAGGAGCCCAGGGGAACAGGAGAAGAACCCAAAACCTCGAGGAGACCCCAAAAATGCCAAAAAAACCCAAAAATCCCATGGGAACCCCAAAAAAAACCCCAAAATCCAGGAGGAGACCACAAAAAACCTTGAGGAGACCCCAAAAATCCCAAAAAACCCCAAAAACCCCATGGAGATCCCACAGAACCTCGAGGTGACCCCACCAAACCCCACCAGGAGACCCCAAAAACCCACGGGGAACCCCAAGGAGACCCCACAGAACCTCGAGGAGACCCCAAAAATGGCTCCTGGTGACCTCATGAAACCACGAGAAGATCCCAAAACCCCAAGGAGGTCCCACAGAACCTTGAGAAGGTCCCAAAACCTCACGAGAAGACCCCCAAAACCCCAAGGAGATCCCAGAAACCCCATGGAGATCCCACAGAACCCCAAGGAGACCCCATCAAACCCCACCAGGAGACCCCAAAAAACCACGGGGAACCCCAAGGAGATCCCATCAAACCCCAAGGAGATCCCATCAAACCACGAGAAGGTCCCAAAAAACCCCAAGGAGATCCCACAGAACCTCGAGGAGACCCCAGAAATGGCTCCTGGTGACCTCCTAAAACCACGAGAAGATCCCAAAACCCCATGAGAAGCTCCCAAAAACCCCCAGGAGATCCCATCAAACCTTGAGGAGACCCCAAAAAACCACGAGGAGACCCAAGGAGATCCCAAAAACCCCAAGGAGATCCCACAGAACCTGGAGGAGACCCCATCAAACCCCACCAGGAGACCCCAAAAAACCATGGGGAACCCCAAGGAGATCCCATCAAACCTCGAGAAGGTCCCAAAAACCCCATGGAGATCCCAAAAACCCCAAAAAGGTCCCAAAACCCCCAAGGAGACCCAAAGCAACCACGAGGAGACCCCAAGGAGATCCCATCAACCATGAGAAGGTCCCAGAAACCCCATGGAGACCCCACAGAACCACGAGGAGACCCCAAAAATGGCTCCTGGTGACCTCAGAAAACCACGAGAAGATCCCAAAACCCCAAGGAGATCCCACAGAACCATGAGGAGACCCCAGAAAGCCCCAGGAGGTCCCAGAAAGGCCCAGGAGATGCCACCAAAGGCCCTGGAGATGCCACCAAAGGCCCTGGAGATGCCACCAAAGGCCCAGGAGATCCCAGAAAGGCCCAGGAGATGCCACCAAAGCCCCCGGAGATGCCACCAAAGCCCCCGGAGATGCCACCAAAGGCCCAGGAGATGCCACCAAAGGCCCAGGAGATGCCACCAAAGCCCCCGGAGGTGCCACCAAAGGCCCCGGAGATGCCACCAAAGGCCCCAGAGATGCCACCAAAGGCCCAGGAGCCCCATGGAGACCCCATCACACCTCGAGGAGATCCCAGAGCCAACCCTGGTGCCACCCTCAGTGGGGTCACCCTGCCCTCGGTGTCACCTCCTCATTGTCACCGACCCTGGTGTCACCTCCTCATTGTCACCCTGCCCTCGGTGTCACCTCCTCATTGTCACCAACCCTGGTGCCACCTCCTCAGTGTCACCTTCTCCTCATTGTCACCAACCCTGGTGCCACCTTCTCATTGTCACCCTGCCCTTCGTGTCACCTCCTCAGTGTCACCGACCCTGGTGTCACCTCCTCATTGTTACCAACCCTGGTGTCATCTTCTCATTGTCACCAATCCTGGTGTCACCTCCTCATTGTCACCAACCCTGGTGTCACCTCCTCATTGTCACCCTGCGCTTGGTGCCACCTTCTCCTCATTGTCACCAACCCTGGTGCCACCTTCTCATTGTCACCTCCTCCTTGGTGCCACCACCTCCTCATTGTCACCCCTGCCTCGGTGTCACCCCCTCATTGTCACCAACCCTGGTGCCACCCTCACCAGTGTCACCCTCACTGATGTCACCTCCTCCTTGGGGCCACCCTCACCTCGGTGCCACCTTCACCAGTGCCACCCTGCCCTCGGTGTCACCTCCTCATTGTCACCAACCTTGGTGTCACCGTCACCTTGGTGCCACCATGTCCTCAGTGCCACCCTCATTGCTGTCACCGTCACCTTTGTGTCACCTTCTCAGTGTCACCGACCCTGGTGCCACCCTCACCTTGGTGCCACCTTCTCATTGTCACCAACCTCAGTGCCACCCTCACCTTTGTGTCACCTCCTCAGTGTCACCGACCCTGGTGTCACCTTCTCCTTGGTGCCACCTTGGCCTCGATGGCACCGTCACCTTTGTGTCACCTTCTCAGTGTCACCAACCCTGGTGTCACCCTCACCTTGGTGTCACCTTGGTCTTGGTGCCACCCTGACCTTGGTGTCACCTCCTCAGTGTCACCAACCCTGGTGCCACCTCCTCATTGTCACCCTGCCCTTGGTGCCACCACCTCCTCAGTGCCACCCTCCCCTCGGTGTCACCTCAGGGCCACCAACCCTGGTGCCACCCTCACCTTGGTGCCACCTTCACCAGTGCCACCCTCACCTCGGTGTCACCTCCTCCTTGGTGTCACCTCCTCAGTGCCACCCTCACTGGTGTCACCTTCACCTCGGTGTCACCCCCTCTTTGGTGTCACCTTCCTCAGTGCCACCCCCTCCTTCATGTCACCCTCACCTCGGTGCCACCATGTCCTTGATGCCACCCTCACCTCAATGGCACCTGTCACCTTTGTGTCACCTCCTTATTGTCACCAACCCTGGTGTCACCCTCACCTCGGTGCCACCATGTCCTCAGTGCCACCCTCACCAGTGCCACCCTGACCTCAGTGTCACCTCCTCAGTGTCACCAACCCTGGTGCCACCTTCTCCTTGGTGCCACCTTCACCTTTGTGTCACCTTCTCATTGTCACCGACCCTGGTGCCACCCCCACCTTGATGTCACCTTCACCAGTGCCACCCTGACCTCAGTGTCACGTTCCTTGGTGTCACCTTCACCTTGGTGCCACCTTCTCATTGTCACCAACCCTGGTGCCACCCTGACCTTGGTGTCCCCTCATGGCTGCCACCTCCTCCTTGGTGCCACCCTGACCTCAGTGCCACCCTCATTGCTGTCACCGTCACCTTGGTGTCACCTTCCCAGTGTCACCAACCCTGGTGCCACCATGTCCTCAGTGTCACCCTCACCTTGGTGCCACCTTCGCCTCGATGTCACTGTCACCTTGGTGTCACCTCCTCATTGTCACCAACCCTGGTGCCACCTCCTCCTTGGTGTCACCCTCATCAGTGCCACCCTCACCTTGGTGTCACTCTCACCTTGGTGCCACCATGTCCTCAGTGCCACCCTCACCTTGGTGCCACCTTCTCCTTGGTGCCACCTTGGCCTCGATGGCACCGTCACCTTTGTGTCACCTTCTCAGTGTCACCAACCCTGGTGTCACCCTCAGGTCTTGGTGCCACCCTCATTGATGTCACCCCCTCCTTGGTGCCACCCTCACCTTGGTGTCACCTCCTCAGCGTCACCAACCCTGGTGTCACCCTCACCTTGGTGCCACCTTCACCAGTGCCACCCTCACCTTGGTGTCACCCTCACCTTGGTGCCACCTTCTCCTTGGTGCCACCTTGGCCTCGATGTCACCTTCACCTTTGTGTCACCTCCTCAGTGTCACCGACCCTGGTGTCACCCTCACCTTGGTGCCACCCTCACCTCGGTGTCACCTCCTCAGTGTCACCAACCCCAGTGTCACCCTCATTGGTGCCACCCTCACCTTGGTGCCACCTCGGTGTCCCCAACCCTGGTGCCACCCACACCTCAGTGTCACCTTCACCTTGGTGCCACCTCCTCATTGTCACCAACCCTGGTGCCACCCTCACCTCAGTGTCCCCCCCTCGCTGTCCCCCCCGTCTCTGTCCCCCCCTCGGTGTCCCCGTGTCCCCTCCCCCCCCATCCCGGAATGTCCCCAAGTGTCGCAAGAGCCGGCCCCGCCCCCCCCCCCGTGACGTCACCGCGGTGTCGCAACTCCCGCTTCCGCTTTTCCCGCCAAAAACGGGGACACGGGGGGAGGGGACGGGGGGGGAGGGGGACAGGGAGGGGGAGGGGACAGGGACAGGGACAGGGACAGGGACACAGGGACAGGGATGGGGACACAGGGACGGGGACACAGGGACACAGGGATGGGGACACAGGGACAGGGACACAGGGACAGGGATGGGGACACAGGGACAGGGATGGGGACAGGGACACAGGGACAGGGATGGGGACACAGGGACAGGGATGGGGACAGGGACACAGGGACAGGGATGGGGACACAGGGACACAGGGATGGGGACAGGGAGGGGACAGGGATGGGGACACAGGGATGGGGATGGGGACACAGGGACAGGGATGGGGACACAGGGACAGGGAGGGGGACAGGGACAGGGAGGGGGACACAGGGATGGGGACAGGGAGGGGACAGGGACACAGGGACAGGGATGGGGACACAGGGACAGGGACACAGGAATGGGGACAGGGAGGGGACAGGGAGGGGACACAGGGATGGAGACACAGGGATGGGGACACAGGGAGGGGGGCACAGGGACAGGGATGGGGACACAGGGATGGGGATGGGGACAGGGATGGGGACACAGGGACAGGGACAGGGATGGGGACACAGGGGTGGGGACAGGGAGGGGACAGGGACACAGGGATGGGGACAGGGAGGGGACAGGGATGGGGACACAGGGAGGGGACAGGGATGGGGACACGGGGACAGGGAGGTGACAAGGATGGGACAGGGACAGGGACAGGGACAGGGACACAGGGACAGGGAGGTGACAAGGATGGAACAGTGACAGGGAGGGGACAGGGGCTGGACAGGGCCAGGGGACAGGGACACAGGAATGGGGGGGACAGGGACAGGGACAGGGAGGGGACAGGGATGGGGACAGGGAGGGGACAGTGGCACAGGGATGGGGGGGACAGGGACAGGGAGGGGACAGGGACAGGGCCGGGGGGGACAAGGACAGGGACATGGTGGGGACAGGGACAGGGAGGGGACAGTGACAGGGGGATAGGAGGGGACAGGGACAGGGACAGGGACATGGTGGGGACAGGGACAGGGAGGGGACAGGGATGGAGGGGACAGTGACAGGGACAGGATGGGGACACTGATAGGGAGAGGGACAGGCAGGGACAAGGAGGGACAGCAAAGGGACAGGGATGGAGGGGACACGAGGGGACAGCGACCGGGACACGGACAGGGAGGGGACAGGGACAGGGAGGGGATGGCACCGCTTTGGGGACAGGGATGGGGAGGGGACAGGGATGGGGGGATAGGAGGGGACAGGGACAGTGACAGGGACAGGGAGGGGACACTGATAGGGAGAGGGACAGGGGACATGGAGGGGACAGAGAGGGGACAGGAATGGGGACAGGGACAGGGAGGGGACAGCGATGGGAAGGGGACAGTGACAGGGACAGGAAGGGGACACTGATAGGGACAGGGAGGGATAAGGAGGGACAGTGAGGGGACAGGGACAGGGACAGGGAGGGGACAGTGACACAGGAATGGGGGGGACAGGGGGGGACAGTGACAGTGCCAGGGAGGGGACAGGGACAGGAAAGGGGATGGCGCCACTCTGGGGACAGGGGGGGGACAGTGACAGGGAGGGGACAGGGACAGGGACAGGGACAGGGACAGGGACAGGGAGGGGACAGGGACAGGGACAGGGAGGTGACAGTGAGGGGACAGGAATGGGGAGGGGACAGGGATGGGGGGATAGGAGGGGACAGGGACAGGGACAGGGACAGGGACAGGGAGGGGACAGGGATGGGGACAGGGAGGGGACAGGGACAGGGATGGGACAGGGATGGAGGGGACATGAGGGGACAGTGTCAGGGACACTGAGGGGACAGGGATGGGGAGGGGACAGGGACAGGGACAGTGACAGGGAGGGGACAGTGACAGGGACAGGGAGGGGACACTGATAGGGACAGGGACAGGGATGGAGGGGACACGAGGGGACAGTGACCGGGACAGGGACACGGAGGGGATGGCACCGCTTTGGGGACAGCGACAGGGACAGGGAGGGGACAGTAGCACAGGGATGGGGAGGGGACAGGGAGGGGACAGGAGGGGACACAGGGACAGGGAGAGGGGTGGGACAGGGACAGGAAAGGGGATGGCGCCACTCTTGGGACAGGGGGGGACAGGGACAGGGAGGGGACAGGGACAGGGACAGGGAGGGGACAGTGATGGGGCCGGGGAGGGGACAGGGACAGGGACAGTGACAGTGACAGGGACAGGGAGGGGACAGGGATGGGGAGGGGACAGGAGGGGACAGGGACGGGGGGGATGGGGGGCGGGGGGGACAAGGACATGGAGGGGACAGGGACAGGGACAAGGAGGTGACAGCGAGGGGACAGGAATGGGGAGGGGACAGGGATGGGGGGATAGGAGGGGACAGGGACAGGGACAGGGACAGGGACAGGGACAGGGAC